TCTTATTGGCTAGTTTGATCAAACAGACCAATCAGATTTTTTATTGAATTCATTGAGGTAGGTGCTTGAGAACGCCAAAAATAATGTCAATCGTTAGTCTAAAATTCCCGAAATTGATATTAATGCCAATTGGGTTAAACTGTTGAACGATTAAGTTTTAATAATTAATTAAATGAAAAAAATGTAAAAATAAATAAATATAAATTAATTAATCAAGTTTAAAAATGCGAATAAAGAAATTTAATTAGTAAAACTTTAAATAATAAAAGAAAATAATTTTAATAAACGGAGAAAACAAATTAAGCACGGACGTTTGGACTACCGACTACTAGCAATTCTGATACGTACGTACGTACGTGCGTACAGGACGTATAATTGAACTCCAAATGCGACATGCAGCATGCAATCGCAATTTTAGCCAAAAAAAAATTCCGACAAATTGCATAAATCATTATTTACTGCATAACAATACATTTATTATTAAATATTAAAGGTTTAAGAAAGCATCAACCTCTTTATCCTTTAACTTGATATTGTTAAAAAAATTTTTTACCAAGTTTCAAATTTTTACATTCCTTTAATCATAAATTATATAAACATCTAAATTAAATTATAATGGGATGCTTTTCTTCTAAATCGATAGAAAAAATAGAATTTCTAGATTCACAATGTACACAGACAGAATTTCGATACGCTGATGGTAGAAGATTTCATAATGTGGAAGGTGTTGAATATTTTCTTCCAAATGATGATGATGAACAAGATAGGCTACACCTACAACATTTTTTAATAAGATATATATGGCAAAGCAATTTTTCTTCCCCAATTAAACATCTTTTGACAAACCCGGGAACTAAAATTCTCGATATTGGGTATGTAAAGTAATTATTATTATTGAAATTTAATAATAATATTAATAATATTAGAAGTAGAAAACATGGATTTAGAACTTTGGTTTGGAATTAGAATCTATTTCTGAACAATTAGTCATCGACTGAAACTTCGTTTCCGCTTGTGCACGTACGTACGTACACATACCGATCAGGATATTTTTACTAAATACTGTACTGTATAGTGATGGGGTTTTAATAATAATAATCCCGTGATCTTGGCATTGTGATGGGGTTTATTATATAATCAATTATCTGATTGGTCGATCAATTATTCGGCAGGTAAATGATTATCTAAGCCAATTATTAGCTAATCTAATTGATTATATAATATATATTTTGGTAATAATCGACTAAAATTAAATAGCGCTAGTGAAAAAGACACCAAAGAATTCCTAGAATCAAAATATATCCAAGTATATATGTAGAAATAATTTCTACGTACTGTACTAATTTTTGGTTTTATTCAATAATTTTATTATAGATGTACGACCGTACCGCGTGAGCTAAAGTACTTGGTGTGATGAGATTTGTATTATACATCACATTCGTATATAATGGTATTTTAAAAATAGATCGACACTATTTGTCACATAGATTACTTTAGTCCCGCAGTACGGTTTCAAAATTTACAAAAAAGAAATAATTTTTATTACTGCAAACTTATATTTTGCGAATGTTTATAAAAATATAAGAGCTAACCTTGTACCATGTTTATTATATTCTATTTAGTTGTGGTGCAGGATCTTGGTCATTTGATATGGCAAGCACGTAAGTATAATCTTTTAGATTGGCATATTTGATACGTATTATAGATAAAACAATTTTTTTTATAATACATTAACTGTACTTCAGATAATTATATTTTCATATTCCAAATTACTGACCTCTTATATGTTTCTCAGGTATCCATCAATTAATGTTGTAGGATTAGATATATCTCCATACCAACCGACACAGATAAAACCTGACAATTTTACATTCGTTAAAGCAAATGTTCAAGAAAGAATACCATTTGATGATAATACATTTGATTTTGTATTTCAGCGATATTTGATCGGTGGACATTCTAAAGAAAAATGGCCAAATGTAATAAATGAGATGGTCAGAGTTTTAAAGCCTGGTGGATTCTTAGAAGTATGCTTATTTAAAAAAATTTTCATAGTTTATTATTTAATATTTTTTAAATTGATTATCTTATTAACCCTGTTAATCAAAAAACTTTTTTTAAAAAAAAAGTTATGTGAACCTTCTGCAATGCATGATGCTGGACCAACAACTCAACGATTATGTAATGCTGGTGTGTACTTTATAGTTTTTGGTACTTTTTCTTTTACTTTGCAATATTTTATTTAATGAAATAATTTATTATGAAGAATTAGAGATTATGGAACGACGAGGATTAGATGTGAATTTACTACAAAATTTAGAGAAATATGTACAAAATCAAGGTTTTTATTTTTTTTTATATAATTATATATAATAATTGATTAAATTGCTGTAATCATTTATTAATAATGTATTCTTTAAATTAGATAACCTAGAAAATATTGAAAAAGAATTAAGACGATGTCATCATGGTGCAAAATCCAATAATACTGAACTTAGCAAAGTGGTAATGTACCGTATAAATCATGTGATTTCATATTTTGCAGTAATCTTAAAAATTTTTTTAAAAAATTCCATGAAATATAAACAGGCTATCAGTAATTTAAATTCCATATATAATTTGTTTAAACCCGTTTTAATGAAAGAGTTGAAAATTTCTAACGATGAATTTGATGAATTGGTTAAAATATCAGAAAAGGAACTATTTGAATTTGATTCTTATTTTTATTTAATTCGTATTTACGCAAGCAAAGTTGTCAGCAATAATGATGACAAAAGTTTGCAATAACAAATATTTTTGTTAATACTGTATATGATTGAGTCAACAGGCATGAATATAGCATGAATTTTTGTATATGATACGAATTTTAGATTATGATATGGGTTTTTTTTGTTGGGATTGATTAGTTTTAACTTGTTTATAGAAAAGTTTATTTGTTTTCGTTCAAAGGTTTTGGATGTAGATTGATTTTAGTGTTAAAATCAAATAAAAATAGAATAAATTAATAAAAAATCTTCTAACAAAATGAATTAAATTCTTATAATTCATATCGATAAATTACTAAGGTGTATTATTACTATTCGAAAGTTAGTAATAAATTTATAATATCTGATTTCTGAAATGTATACAATAATCATATTAAGAAAGATATTTATCTACGTCTTCCTCAAGTTTCCTTTGCATAATACGGTGTCGCGCGAATGAGAACAGCAATCATGTGATTTCAATTATCAGATGTAGCATGAACATTAAATAAACCAATAAGTACGTACTTGTTATTGGTTTGTGGATGATAACTGATTTATCGCTAGGTTTCTATATAAATCACGTGGCTTTGCCATGTCATTTATATTGTTCCCTACGAATAATCAGTTTTCATTACAACTTAACTGATAACATTTTTATCCGTAAGGTCCGACGTAAGCGCTGTCGTTTTTCGTATATATTATTCGATCTTTCTAATCATTAGACTCACTTTTACTCTTTTTTTACGTTCGATTACTTTTCCACTTTCGCTCATCATTTTTTTCATTTAACTTTTTTTACTTTTTTTCCTTCGCCAAATCTTTTTTTCCTTAACTTTCACTAACATGGATTTTATGAGTTACGCAAAAAGAAATAAAATCAATAAATTGAGTCATCACATGATTAGAAAGTGATCGAATAATATATACAAAAAATGTCTAGTGCGCACATAGGACCTGCCGGATAATCATTCTAACAGCACCTTACGGTAGTCGTGTTAATAATTATTAGTATTAAAATAATTATTCTAATAGCTTTATAGTTAGTATTAAAATAGTTATTTTAACAGCTATTTATGATTAAAACTTTGATGAATTTTTTCTGTTAAAACATAAAAGACAGTTTTTAGAAAAATTATTGTCACATTATATATACTTAATATGATGTTTTACTATTTATGATATAAGAACCGAAATCTATATAGACAATAAAGACTAACTTAAAGATTTTGTTATTACAATTTTTATGAATTCCACGCGTACAAATATGTAAACTTTGTAAAAATATACACTTAAAATTAATATCCCGACCTCTCACATGATAAAGTTCATATTAGCTCATGCGTAATTGAACCTTTATATAAATGATATTAAATTAAGTAATCCAAAAATCTTTCTCTCTTTTAAAACATAACAGCACTAAAATAAAATAAAACGTTTCTTTATAAAAGCTATTCAACTTACGGTGTTTCATCTAACGTTCGTAAAAAATTTGAAAACTATCAACGTATAACTTGTGCTGATTGCTATGAATATTACTGCTCATAGAATAAACAGCGAATTAAAATTGTGAAACTTGTAGTGCCACTCAAATTTAAATTTATTATACGCTATACATTTAATTTAAACTTTATTGTCCGAAGACTTAATGGTGTAGTCATCGACCAGATTGTATGTTTATGTCCGTACGTACCTATTTTTAGATTAGATGATTATTTTTAATTAACTCATAATAAAAAAAAATACCGTGTGATATATGTAATGAAAATCTTGGCTTCGGGCATCTAACAGCACCTGTTTTCTAGTATTTGCAAGAATGATAACGATAATGGAGCTGAAAAAAGCAATGAAGTTGATGATTACGGCAATGAAGTTAACCAATGTATATGATGATGAAAATATTGATATGAATTATGATAAAAATTTACCCAATCTCGATTTACTCCTTTGCCTATTCCACAAGCAATTCAGCAAGATTAGTGATGAGGGCCGATGCCAAATGCTTGGGCCGACCCAGCCGAAAAATTTCTCAAGCCGGTCGACCGGGCTGACTATATTATTAAATTATTTTAAGCTGTCCCAAACTATCTTACATATCTTATAATTTGATCTCCTATCGATAACTTCATATAAAAATTGCCATATGTCCAAACTCCCCAACGATGTTTTGTGTTGGTTAATTATCCACATCCCGAAATGTTCCGATATTACTCTACCTTTTCTTTAACATTGACTTAATGTTGCCTAAATCTACAATTAATTCCAATCTAATTCGACAACTTACCAAAAGTTTGGTAAATTACATCAATTTACTTGTTAGCTCATTAATGATAATATTTACAACTCTAGTCTTATTTTGATCGACCCAGGCCTGTGAAGGTGTGGGCCGACCCTCGGCCCGCCCGCCCGGCCGATGGGCCGGGTCAGCCCTCATTACTAAGCAAGAAGGATTTTTTGTTATAACAGCTCTAACTTTAAAGTCAAAATTTTTCTTAACCGTTGAAATAATCTTAAATTTTTAAAAATTTCAATGTATACTAGAGAATAGAACGATTACTTTTCTATAATATCATACGGATGTAAGTACTGTTTTAAAGTGTATATTGTGGTTATTAAAATGATGATCTTACGGTTTAAATATCGCGAAGTTGGTTCTCTATAAGCACAACTACTAGGGTTGCTAGTGCAGAGTACTTGGAAACACCAATGAAGCACCAATATGGTGTGTCAGCTAGCATGCACAATAGTATGGCACATAAATGGTGAGCAAATCATAGTTAAACTTCTGAAATTGAATTTCGTGAAGTCTGTAGTCACATCAAAATTTTAAACTTTTGCAACTAAATCTACATAATATGATTAAGGAATTTCATGCGAATAAAGCGATGTAAGTGAAAGCCATTGACCACAATCAGTATTTAAAGAGGTGACAAATAACTTACTTGGACACCCTTTTCTTCAACACAATGAAGCATTACAACCATTCCTTTTTTCTCGACCTACCCTCCTGCTTCTGCCATTTTCCTATCTAACAGCTGGCTTGCTTCAAGTAGGCGAGAAACCACCAGCCAATGCTGTTTCTCACTCATTTTACTATTATGATGATACCCAGAACAATCTCACTTGCTATTTTTCTATGAGCATGTCATCATTTCAGTTCAAATTATCCAGATCAAATTTACTCACTATGGACTAAAAAAACTTTTATTGAATTTATTTCCGGCACATTTGACTAACCGGCGTTTTTCCAATCACATAACTAGTCATACCTATGGTTTTTAAATTTATTAATGTGATAGAGATATTGCTAGAGATCTGGTACATTATAACTCATTGCAGTAAGTTGTTAATAAGTAATATTCATTTAACTTATATCGGTATCAATTAATTAAATTATTAAATTGAATTAACAAAATATCATCTCGATAAATCAAGTTTCCGAGCTATTTTCCAATAGAAGTTTCTAAAATTTGTGGTACGTATTAAATATGAGATTTCTATTTCTGAAAGTTTAGAGATATTAGTGGAGCCCACTGACATTTATATTATTAAAATCTGAATTTTATTTTACTTTTTTTATTTTAAATTACACTATTGTTATTCTTCTAAAAATGGCTACACAAACGAATGAACAATTATACTATTAATTAAAGGACGTTCTCAAGCGCCTCAATTAGTGGGTTAAAGTATGTTGAAAATATGTCGGGAATTAAATTTTAATTGACGGAAAGTAATTTTAATCGATCAATCGAGCTTTTCATTAAGATATGTAAGGTAGTTTATTATTTGAAAGTAAAAATTTTAAATTAAGAAATAAACATCGTTTACCATTTCAGTCAAAAAACTTTTTGTTCCGAACTACTTTTTTTTTTTTTTGCGTTGATTTATCAAAACTTTATAAATATTAAAAAGTGAATAAAGTATTGCTCAAGTGTTTTCATACTTTTATTAAGAGTTTTTATTTTCGATACAAATTTTTTGTAAAATTTCGATAAACTATTTAAAATCTTCTTAATCAGTGATTTAAAACCTTTATTTCATCTATTATTGAAATTGTGCATCACTACAGTTATTAAACAATTACAGGAATAGTAATGTTTAAGCATATCTCAACAAAACCATCATTCGTATTATTGACTTTTATTCAAAATGTTATGACAATAGCTAAAATTACGTCATAATACTTGTGCACCATTTCGATCACTATGAAATCGCATCTTGGTTAACGCTTGAGAACACCCAAAGTTAAAGATAATCATCTCTGCGATTATTAATATTTCTTCCAATTCTTTTTTGACATGCAAATTCATTGTTCAATCTTTAGCTATTTTGATTGATAATTTGGAATTCAATAGTCATAAATGTACTCATTGATAAAGAGTTACAATTATTCAAAATTAATTAAGCATGCCTATATAAACGTCTTTTCTTCCGTTATATATCTAAAGTAGCAAACAACTTATCCTCCACTAGAGGTGCAGAAAATTGGTGCCGTAGGGTTACGTCAAAAAGATGAGCGGTTACGTCAAAAGTGTCGTAACAGCGT